TGCGGTGCTCCAAACAGCAGGCTAAACAGCCCGTATAGTCAGCCTCTTGGCTTCCATGCTTTTAAGCAGTGAATTGCTTGCTTGCTAGCTAGCTAGCATGTACTAAGTTGTGACTTCACAGGGATGATTGCAGATGTGAGAGAATGTCTCTGATTGCAAGGCACAAGGGCAGGGAAATGGCAGTCCCTTAGAGAAGTGTTGGCCCCTCTCTTGATCCGCTTCTTCCTCGGACGACTTCGCGTCTGCACATTCTTCTACCCCGCCTCCACTTTGCTTCCCACTCCTCTCCAGTTTGCTCCAACTTCCTTCCTCTCTGCCCTGTGTCTGGCTCCTCTTTTTTTTTCTCCTTTTTCTCGAGGCTGCTCATGGCAAAGGGATCCGGCAATTCCCTCGCACAGGTGCAAAGCCTCTGACGTGGTGCTGGCCCCCAGGCACGTCCCCATAATGCCGTGTCTCCGCAGCCCGGTGGAAGTAATGCGTAGTGGCAGGTAGAGGAATTCAACAGACCAAGAAGATCTGCTAGTGTGGGAATGGCTTGCCAGGCTGGCCTGGCAACACCTGTCTCTCTCGGTGCAGAGCCCCGGAGGCTGGTTCCCAAAGCCGCCGGGTAGCAAAGGAGGAACCCCCACCACTACCACAGACAGCAGGGGGTTGATCGAACGGCCTGGTTTTCCCTCCTCCTCCTCTTTCCCGTAAGTGAGATTCCATTGGCGTCAGAGTAAACAGGACACCGTTGGACTGAGAAATAAGAAACAGCAGAATTAAGCTACCCACCAAGGATTGAAGCTTGGACCAAGGGTGGCTTCCTGAACTGACCGGTTGCACCATGGAAAAAGTTATACTTCAGGGAAGGGCAACGTTTAGGCTACAGGACCCCATTGAGTCCTCTAAGGATCTCCGTCTGGCCCACTGAGATTCCTCAAACAGCCGTTCCTCTTCTCTCAGAAGAGCATTGTTCAGTGGCTTCCCCAGTTCTAAAGGACTCAAATCCCTCTCTTAAGGCTTAGGTAGTACTAGCACCGCGAGAAAACACGATGCTGGCATTTTGGCCTTCTGCGCTTTCAGATTTGGCCAGTTACAGCCAAGCTGGATTACTGTAATGCACTCCATGTGGGGCTGCCTATGGAAAGTGTCAGGAAACTTTGGTGGGTCGAAAACACAGCAGCCAGATGGTTAATTGTGGCTGCTCAGAGGGATCATGAGTCGGACACGACTAAACAACTGTACAACAAAAATACCAGTTCCACTGACTGCTGATCTGTTTCTGGGCTGAATTCAAGGTGTTGGTTCTAACCTATAAAGCCCTAAACGGCTTGGGCCCAATCGATCTCAAGGATCGTGTCTCCCGTTATGAGCCTGCTCTAGTCTCAAGATCAGCAGGAGAGGCCTTTCTCTTGGTCCTGACACCTTCATAGGTGCATTTGGTAGACACACAGGAGAGGGCCTTCTCTGTAGCTGCTCCTAGACTCCGGAACTCCCTCCCACAGGAGAACAGGCTGGCTCTATCTTTCCTGACCTTCTGCAAGCAGGCAAAGAGCTTTCTCTACAGGCAGGCTGCCTGAGCGACTGGATGCCTGAGTGGGGCTTTTAGATGGATGGGTTTTTTGTTTTTGTTTTTTGGTGTTGCTTATGATCTTTAGTATGACATTTGTTCGATCCTTTTGAGTATCTGTATACTCACTGTCATTAGTTTTAATATTGCCATTTGATGATATAAGCTACCTTGGGTCCTTTTGAAAGAGCAAGGCAGATTACAAATATTTTAAATAAGTAAACAAACTTCTGCGAAATTGTGAATTTGGCCCTCCAGTAGAAAGAGCTTCTCCTTCTGGTCCTGTCTGAACTGTCCTCCAAGCCAGCACCCTTTAGAGATAATGGCCTACCACACCAATGACCTCTTATTTTCCTTGGCCATGGGGACCGGATACTTGGGAGACAATAGTGTCTAGAGACATCTAGAACCCACCAGCTTTCAAGAAGGTTTAAGTAGAAGAAGGTTGGGGCTTTTGGGAAAGAAGTCCTACCTTCTTTCAGCTTGAGTTTGAATACACTGAGATGAGTGATTCCAAACCTGGGTTAGCCAAGGTTGAGAACTGCTGATCTAGAGAGTGCAGGCTTTGGAGAACCCATTTCCCTGGTTCTCAGTGTTTGGCCCTTCACACTTTTAGGACCTCAACGCTCAGATTCCCTCACCACTCACGAGGCTGATACAGCCTGCTGGAAATAGAAGCCCAAAACATCTGGAGAAACAAAGGTCGAGAACCATTCCTTGTTATGTGCTTCCAACTTACAGTGACCCTATAAAAGTGGCCCCCAGAAAGTCCTGTTGTCAGCAGCTCCGCTCATCTCTTGCAAGCTCAAGGCCGTGGCTTCCTTTATTGAGTCAATTCCTCTTTCCTTAGGTCTTCCTCTTTTTCTGTTGTCTTAACTTTTTACCGGCATCCTTGTCTTTTCCAGCAAGTCTTGCCTTTTTGTGATGTGTCCGAAATATGATAGCCTCCGTTTAGTCATTTTTTTAAAAGGGATGAATTCTTACACATTGATAAGCAAGAAATGAATGGTCATTTTATAGATCTGTCTGCTGAATATACTGATTTGGCCGTACTAGAAATTCACCGTTTAATGTGCTGAGTAAGTGAATGGACCAACATGGTTGGAATGCCTTGCTTTGAACTGGAGTGAAGTGTAATGCGTGTGGGGCCTGCAAGAAAAATACTGCAATGAAAAGTGGTCCTCTTCCAAATTTGACACAGCCAGCCATGTCCTTTCCCATTCCATCCCATCTCTCCAGCCCTGGAAGACAAATAACTTCTAGACAGGCAACCTGTCCAAACTGGAGGCACACAAGTGGCCTTGTCACTGATGAGATCTCTAGCGCTTCTATTTTAAATTATAGTGCTTACTTCCATATTTCTTTGCAAATATAAACAACAACATCTGTACAGAAATATGGAAGTTAAGCACTATAATGGATAGATACAAATAACCATAGGGATTCCCAGTGTGGTGTAATCATGCAGTGGTCCCCAACCTTGGGCTTCCAGATGTTCTTGGACTACAACTCTCAGAAGCCTTCACCACCACCTCTGCGGGCCAGGATTTCTGGGAGTTGAAGTCCAAGAGCATCTGGAGGCCCAAGGTTGGAGAGAGTGATGGAATAGGGCTCTGGAGACCAGGGTTCAAATCCTTGCTCAGCCATGGAAACTCCCCCGGGGGAGTGAAACTGGTAAAACCCACTCTTTAAAATAACTCGCTTACTGTACCTTAAAAGCCCTATAAGTCGGTTCTGACATGACAGCACAGAATATACACACACGCAAGCCCTATTAGGGTCACTATAAGTCGGTTGTGACTTGACAGCACAGAATATACACACATCTACCATATGCAAATATGTAGATCCATAGCCTCGTTTTTATTCTGTTGTACTTCCTGTCTTCAGCAATGCAGCATCTTAACCATGCAACGCTCACTCTTACTGGACTTATTTCCATTAACGTCTACAAAGGAAAGTACATTGTAGATATATTTATTTTCTGGTTTAGCAGAGAAGAGGAAGGATTTGGGGGGGGTGGAGTTTGCCGAAATAGAACAACCGGTCCTGCTCTTCCAGTGAATTCATCTGAGGCTGCCTCAGGCAGATAAACAGCAAAGGTTTCCGTGCATCTAACTTGCAAACGGGTTGCAGAGATGAGTAGAGTTGAGTTGCTTGGCTATTATTTCAGGCACTGTTTGATTCAAGCCTTTGGGGGCCTGTGATGGACAGGGAAGAAACCTGCGCAGACCTTCCTTATGCCAAAAGATTCTACTGGTCTCAAAACAAGCTGGTTACATTGAACAAACATGGTAATCATGCAGTGTTGTTCAGAAAAAAAACTACGTATTTTTGAACTGCAATTGTCCATCTATCCCCTGTTTCATCCATCAAAACATTTTCCCCTCCTTTGGAAGTCCGATAATTCCAGTAATTATTGAAATAGTCAGTTTCTGCAGTATTTTAGCCTATGCAGGGGAAGTTCATCGGCTTCTGTTTTGAATCTGAACTTGCCAAGTTTTGTACTCCCAAAATAATGCAGGATCAAGCAACTCAGCTGTTCTTCTAAGTAATTACTTGTCCAGATTTTACCACGGGAAAGGCATCTCAAATGGGTATATTGAAGAACACAGTAAGCAAATATATATATATGTACATGAAAATAATAAGCGTTTGAAGGCTTTTAGACAAATGACTCGCAAAAATGTGTATGTTGGGCAGAATTACATTCAAAAATATTGTATACATGTGCTTTAGGAGGAATGTGAAGCAACAGTGTGCACAGATTTTCATGGAAACCTAGCTCAGTGGTTGAGGTCTCTGGCTTTGGAGCCCGAAAATGGGGGTTCTGTGGTTGAGGTCTCTGGCTGTGGAGCCCGAAATTGGAGTTCGATTCCCCCACGGTGCCTCCTTGAGACGGAGTGGACTCGATGATCCGTAGGGTCCCTTCCAGCTCTGCATTTCTCAGATGATGATGATGAAGATCAAAATTCAAGAGAAGCAAAGATTTCAAACTGTGATCCTTCCCAGGTTTTTTTCAGAGATAGCAGAGGACTGAACTCCTTCAGCATAAGCTCTAAACGCAAGCATCAGCATTTCCCGAAGGGTCATAGGATGAATGCCCACCTAGTGATTTGGAAATGGTTGTTGTGGGGGTTTTTTTCGGGCTCTTTGGCCGTGTTCTGAAGGTTGTTCTTCCTAACGTTTCGCTAGTCTCTGTGGCCGGCATCTTCAGAGGACAGCACTCTGTGCTCTGGTGTAGTTGGCTTGGGAGTGGAGTATTTATGACTGTGAGATGGGCTTTTGTCTTTTTCTGTAGATGGGTGATTAGTGTGTCTTGTTATGGGTGTACTGTTGTGAAAGCCTTCACGAACAGATTTGGAAATGCTTGCTGAGAAAATGAAGCGAACATTCTCTCGGTGTGAATGCGGATAAATGTACTGTTTTGCAATGTGTCTCGTTTCAGGTTGTGCTGTGGACCGGTGGTTCCAGCCGGGCAGGCCAAGAAAGGTGAATGCCTTGTGCCGTGCAGCCGGTATCCTGAGATCTAGCTTGCCAGCAGCAGCCATGTCCAAGGACGAAACTGGCTGTAAGCTGGCCCCTGTTTACAAGCACAAGGAGCGCAAACCCAAGAAGCCTCATTACATTCCTAGGCCATGGGGGAAGCCCTATAATTACAAGTGTTTCCAGTGCCCGTTCACCTGCATGGAGAAATCCCACCTTTACAATCACATGAAGTACAGCCTGTGTAAGAACTCCTTGTCTTTGCTGATCGAGTCGGACTGGCCCTACAAGAAAGGGAACCTCCTTCACCCGGAGCTCCGACTCCTGCATGCCACGGAAGCTTCCCGCGCTCGTGGGAGGCGGGAGGAGGCAGAGGGATGTGACGCTGCAGCCGGGACAGCGGGAGCCACGGACCTGAAGCATGACATGGAGAGAGACAGTGGAGCAGGCAAAGCTATGGGGATGGACGGGTCAGAGAAAATGAGCGACGAAACCAACCAGTTCCAAGAGGAGGAGGAGGAGGAGGAGGAAGAGGAAGGGACACCCCTGTTACCGGAGGCTGATGTGGGTGAGAAAAAAGGGGAAGCCAAAGAAGCCGATTCCGTTGGGGAGTCAAGAGAGGCCGACATGAACACCCTGCTCTTCCGATTCAAAAACAAAAGAGACAAGCCGTGTAAAGACCCCGCGCCTGATTTTATCATCACCGATGTTTTCTCCTTAAAGAAACAGGTGATGAAAGGGAAGGAGCCCACCTCTCCAGAGTTGGAGGCCAAGGCAAAGCATGGCAGAGCGCCCAAGAAATGCCCAGGGAATGGTGCGGTCCTCATGGAGCAATGGAAGTTAGTGGCCAATGGCCAACGGAGAGGCGCCGGTGAAATCCCAGCGCCCTGCCCCAATGGGAACATCATCCCTTGTTATCCACCTCCAGCCTACGGGGAGTTCCATGAACCCCAGAGCCTCAATCTCTCCTTGCTGGGGATTAACTATCCGCTGAACCCCAACCTCTTCTCTTACTTTGGTCCTACCGTGGCCAACAATGCCACTCCACAATCCCACCTCACCCAACTTCCTTTCCTGGCGTCCACTGCCCAGCTGATGCATCCCCACTCTGCTCATTTCCAGCCCCTGCAAAGTCCAGACAGGTCCACGCTTCTCCCGCGCTTCTACTACCCCTTGCTCTTTGAGCACTCCTTCGGCTCCGCGGAAAGCAAAATGGCGGCCACCAAGCCTGAGGCTCAGCCGCAACCAGGAGCGGCCATGGGGGTCCCCTCTCAGGCCAAAACTCCCCAGGAGCCGGCCAAAGCAGGGCTGTTGAAAGTCCCTGTGCTGAAGGGTGGCCTTCCTTGGGTGAAAGGTTTCCACGAAGAACCTCCTCCAGAGCAAAGCCCCAAGACCTTGCTCCACCAGGAGGAAGACGAAAAGTGGCTGATCCATGAAAAGGAGACCAACGCCTTGCTCAACAGCCTCTGCAAAAAGCCAATGCCCGATGCCTACCAGAACCTGGTGGGTATGAAAGATGGCGGTCCTCTCCTCCCCAACAGCCTCAGGAAGGCAGAAATGCCAATGGCGACTTGCTTGGACAGTGGCGGAACCACCATCAACAACCTGAAGAGGAAATTTCCAGGCAATGGCCTTGATTTATTAGGCACCAGCATGCTGACCACGAGGAAAGTGAGATACCAAGCCAGGTATGTCATGCCACCTGAACTCCATTGTCTAGTACATTCTGCACAAGATAAACTCAGTGGTGCAGGGGTGGAGAACCTCTGGTCTTCCAGATGTTCTGACCTAAAATTCACATCAGCCCCAACCAGGATGACTAGTAGTAAGGAACGGAGGGAGTTGTAGTCCATAACAAGCAGAAGGCCAGTGTTTCTTTCCTCCTGCTTTAAGGTTTTGCAAGCAATTTTAAAATAAGATTAAGAATAAGAATGTTATTTGATTCATTAACTTCTTTTTGCACTTCCCAGGATACATATATAAGAGTTCCATCCGCTATCCTGGCTCTCAACAACCATGTGTTTCTCTGAATGTGTGAATACTGCTGTAGGTGTGTCAGATAGGTTCACAGCTGTAGGTGTGTCGGATAGGTTCATGCCATTGCAGAAGGTTCAGACATGCAGTCTATAACGCTGCACAGCCGGAGCCAGTCCAGATCACATGACCCAGAGGCAGAAGGTATGATCGTGGACAGGCTGCAGATATTTAGCTGTTTAAGGCAGATGATCAAAATGCCATCCTATCTGCTGTGGATTGTATGCTGTTTTCTAGTCGGTGCTTGGAACAGTTATGTGTTTTGACTATGGCTACTAGAATCCACCACCGAGCAAGACCAGTAGCCATACAGACTAATCATATAATCATGGGCCGCCGAGTGGCTTAAGGCAACCCTTTTCAGGGTTTCCCTGGTAGAGATACTCAGAAGTGATTTCCCCTTCCCTTCTACTGGGGGCATCCTAGGATGGTGCAGCTGGCCCAAGGCCCCCCAGGCTGGCCCTATTCAGCCAGCTAGCCATACAGACTAGGGGACTGCAAAAAAATAGAGTAACTTTTCCATCCTCTTACTCTAATTATAATAGCTGGCCCAAGGCCACCCAGGCTGGCCCTATCCAGCCAGCTAGCCATACAGACTCGGGGATTGCAAAAAAATAGAGTAATTTTTCCGTCCTCTTACTCTAATTATAAACTAGTCCAGAGATTAGAAATCTGTGGCTCTCCAGATGTTCTCAGACAATGACTGCCATGGCCAATGGTTAGCGCTGATGAGAGTTGGCAGTGTACATTCTCCACAGCTGCCCTGCTCTGACTGATAAGATTAATTTATGTGTTTCTGTGCCACATGGTGTGTAGTATAATCCAAGTTTTAAAAAACAGCATCCAGGCAAAATACAGTGGTGCCTCGCTTAACGAGCGCACCATTTAACGACGAATCCGCATAGCGACGCGTTTTTTGCGATCGCTAATGCGATCGCATTGCGATGATTCCAATGGGCAAAAATCGCATTGCGATGATCGGTAAGCGTTTCGCTTACCAATCTTCGCATTGCGATGTTCTAAAAACAGCTGATCGGCGGCTCCAAAATGGTCGCCGGAAGAATAAAATGGCCGCCCGCTCCGTTTTCACACCCTGCCCTTGCTTACCGAGGCAGCGAAAGTGGCAGCCAGATGGGGAATCTTCACTTACCGGTGAGTTTTCGTCCCATAGGAACACATTAAATGGAGTTTAATGCATTCCTATGGGGTTTTACATTCCGTATAGCGATGTTTCCGGATAGCGACGTTAATCCTGGAATGGATTAACGTCGCTATGCAGGGCACCACTGTATAAATAAATGGCAGCCATTTAACTTTGCACCTTGTTCAGTCTAGCTTTTTGTATTTCTTCATATTAACAATTCTCTTCCCTTTTGTCTTCTTTCTGTTTCTCCTCTAATAGCAATTTAAGAGCTGCCCCCGCTCAGCCCTCGAGGCCCCTGGACCACTGGCATGTGGAACTCCATGCCTGCCCACCAGAAGACCAACAGAAGACCAGTGGCCCTGACCTTTTACCTCCTGTGATCACAGACCCAGATCATTCTTTTTTTAAGCCAAGCAAAGAGCAAACAATAACTTTTGGCCCGAGAGACCCAGAAGCCACTGCGCTCATTGAGGACTTGTCCAAGACCTTAGAGGAGTATCAGGAGGTGGAGAAGAAGCTCTCAGACATGGCCAAAGAGGACAGCCCGGCACAGAAGCAGCTCAGAAGCCAATTGGTCAAAATTCGCCAGGAACTTTTCCATATCCACGAAGCCCTGGAGAAAGCAACCAAATCTACTGAAGGCCCTTTAGATCTCTCAGTGAAGAAGTCCTCCAAAGATCTGGAGAAAGGGTACTTAGACCTGAAGGAGTCTAAGATGACCGCCAAGGGTGGGAGAGTCCAAGGCAAAGATCTGGATTCTATCAACAGATGTTTGGCCGTGGATGAAGAAAGTCAAGGGGACGAGGTGTCCAATTGTCTCCTTGAGACCGAGAACAAAACCATTGACTTGCTGATCAAGATGAGCCGCTCGGAGAGTCTCCAGGCTGCCTGTTCTGAGGCCCATTTGGGAGCTGTCATCAAAGCTGAGGTGCTCCCCCTCAACGTACCTCTAGAACTCAGGCACGTCATGGAGCCATACTACAGCCGTACCACCAAATGCGAGGCCGATTCCAGCGTCCTGCTCTGTACGGATGGGAGACCCAACCCCAGCCAAGGGCCTCCGCTCCCCGTTACCGAAGACGTCCCGTTGGGATGTAGGGCCCTCCCTCGTTCCTTGTCATGCGCTCTGCCCAGCGAGACGGAGGGCGTTTGCCTTCACAGTCCCTTAAGTACAGATCCATGATGCACTCCGTCTCCGTCAGTCAAGAGCGTTTTGACTTTTTATTTTGAAAATGTTCTGTCCCACATTTTTTTCTCCAAACCGTAAATTTTTGTTTAACGACTTTCAGAGCTAGAAGCTAACCTCCCATCACTCTGTGTCTCTTGAGCTTATCACCACGGAATCCAGATAGTTTATAACGCCTTCCTCTTCCAAATGTTATGAAAAGCACTGCAATTGGGAGGCACAGCTATATATCCTTATTCTGTTATATTCACACGTGGCCGACGTGGCTATGGTGTAGTAGGAGACCATGGGAACACAGTAGAAACCTTTTTAAAAGAATGGTAAATCCATGTGTCCGAGATTTTCCCCATCTCTTCCATTACTGCCTAAACAAGATACATTTTCTGATCCAGAACTTCTTGTGAAGTTTAATTAAAGAGACTGTTGGGTTCTGTTGCCTCTCTAAGACCCTCCCCTTCAACATTAAAACCAAATCCTTGGAGGGCTTTCAGACAAATTATGGATTAGCCATGCCCTTTGTGGGCTTTTAGTAGGGAAATAAACAACAGCAGGTTTACAACACCCTGCCAATAGCCAGGTAAATATTTTCCCCCAATACAGGTAACATCCAAGTAATACCCAAGTTGCCAAAATATTTCTGTAGGCCTAAGCTCTGTGTTGGATCCTGAAGGACACAGGTTAGATTCTGGCTCTTTCTTGTTGTTCTTTTGAAAAAAAAATATTACTATTATTTAATTGTATTATCCTAGTGATTCCTAATGGAATCACAGAGCAGTGTGCTCTGGGACAGCCTTTCGGAGCCTTTAATTGCCAAAAAAACTGCCCCCTCCAGGTCACCTCCACAAGGATCGAGACCAATAGCAACAATCCATCAGTGGTTTTTGGCGATTAAAGTATCTCCCCCTGTACTTCAAGGGAGCTTCAGAACCTAAAATGGGTTTGGGGAAAGTAGGAAGCATTTAATTAATTTAAAATAATTTTTAGTGCTGCACTCAGATTATGCCATCAGTTTACACTGCACCAAGTTAAGTGAACAGGATTTGGGCCTTGGTGTGAATCTTAAATGCTTCCTTTTCCTGATAACCCTTTCAGAGGAATCAACATATTTAACATCACAAGTGGATCTCACTGATATTTCCTATTTCCAGGCACAATTCTACTGGGAGAATATTCCCCGTCTTTGGTAGTGAGGGACGGATCTGTGGGAGAACTGCCGACGACTTAACAGACAACTTCCCAGGACTCCTTCTCTGGGTGGGAAGTCATGCTGGTTAAAACAGGAATGAAAATGAACTTTAATTGATTGACTGATTGATTTAAAATATTCATTTGCCGCCTTTTCTCCCCAGAGGGGGCTCAAAGCGGCTTCCTACAGATAACACAACCAATCAAAAAAAAAACAAACCCACTGTATAAAATATGTTTTTTAAAACCCAACATATATTTAAAATCCGATTTAAAAACAATTCAAACTCATTTAAAAAGCTGTAAGTTGAAAACTAGCCTTGCTGATTTACGGCTTGAAAGCCGGCCTCAAAAGGAAGGTCTTTGCCTGTCAATGGAAAAGAGAAGGAGAGAAGGAACCAACTTTCTGTGTTTTCCAAAGACTGGGGGCCACCACCAAGGAGGCGTATGGGGTGATTCAAACCTTCCAACAGCGTACAATTTCCACGGTTTCCCATTTAGCTTGCATAGAGGGACGCATCACGATTCCTGAGCCCCCCGCCTTTGCAGAGCAGGGAGAATGCTCCAAATTCCAGGTTATTTTTATTTCCCTTGAGCGAACTCACCCGAGCCCTCATCCTAGCTGGAGGAGCTCCTGTGACGAGGAAGGCCAACGGCTGATCCTCTCACCTTGAAAATGAATAGAAACACCATGGGGCACCTTCGTGACTCAAGGATTCTACACACTTTGTGTTATCACATAGCAAAGTATAGGAGTTCACCCTAATCCTGTATCACAAGTGTTGTTCGCATCACAAGCGCAGCAATCTGGAAGCTACTGTGTACTCTTTACTGCCTTCTGTGTGCCAAAAGCTGTGCAGACTTGATGGATCTTGAGATCTCCTTAAAAAAAAAAAAACCCAGACCCCCCCCAAGATCCCACCAAATAGAGCCAAATATTTGCAGAGCTGTGAAAAGTTCCGTTTTTGAACTGAAACTCCCAGAATGCCTCGGCCCCTTTCAGCATGGCCCCAGGAAAATATGGGGCATTTGAGTTGATTTAAGGAGCAGGGGGTTGGACTTGATGGCTTTATAGGCCCTTCTTCCAACTCAATGGTTCTAGAATGCTAGGGTTGGACTCCATGGCTTTATAGGCCCCTCTTGCAACTCAAAGGGTTCTCGGATGCTGCAATTAATTTTTGATGCTCTGTTGCATTGTGAGACAGACGGGCATTTAGAATTAAAAGGTACTTTGGAACAGTGTTCAGCCCAGGAGTTCCTCTCCATCATCAGCAAGAAGCTCCAAGCCTTTTTCATATAAAAATGCACCGCAGGTCCCTGTGCCCTCTACAGCTTTCACCATTTCAGCTGCCAAAGACCAACTGGTGCTTTTGGAAAGAGCTGGAAATCTGAAGCTCTTGCTGATCTGCTGCAAGAGAGCTATCACAAAGCTACTAGATAGCTCAGTGGTTTACATCTCTGGCTGCGGAGCAAGAGGTTGGGGGTTCGATTCCCCCACTGGGCCTCCTTGGTAAAGGCTGGACTAGGTGATCCATAGACACGATGATCCCTTCCAGCTCTACTCCTTGGTAAAGGCTGGACTCGATGATCCCTTCCAGCTCTATACAGTAGTTCAAAGATGATCAGAGATTTACCAGGGGATCCTAACAGCAACGTTGGCAAATCTTTGTGTCCGAGTTGGAAGTCTGAGTCTTTGGTCCCAAGTCCCTATCAAAACCAAGTTTTTCCCCCCAGAAAAAAAAGAGAGAGGGTGAATGGGTTCCAAGTCGCAAATTGAGTCTGAATCATTTAAGAAAAAGCCCTTGGGTTGAATTCGAGTCGAGTCTCTGGTGCAACTTAAGCCCGACATGACAGTGAGCCCAGCGACTCGGTTCTCTGCCTTTTGCCCACTCCTGCCCTGCAACACAGGGGGGTTAGTCTGCGCAGTTGTTGGCAAAAGCTGGGGAGGGACAAGATAACAGACTTCATTTCATTCCTTCTTTCCCTGAGAGTTAAATGTGGTGAGAGATTTGGGGGGGGGGGGCTTCATACAGTTTCATACGCATATATTGTATGATCTCATCCAAACACATGGAGTATGGCAAACACGCCAAATCGGATCCAGTTAAGACTGTCTTCATGGGCCTGTGGCCACTGGGTGTGCTGGAAAGGAAGATGGGAGTTGTAGTGTACCTGCAGGCATCCGGCTAAGAAAGAGTAGAATATGCGACCCTCGCTGCTTTCTCCAGTATAAATCGAGAGGTGGCTGTGGACCCCACACTCAAGCCTAGTCAAAGGCACCCTGCTACCATCCACCACCTGCAAACGGTGCCCCTACTCATCCAAATTAAATAATTTGCTGTCCTGTCTTGAGACTCTGCTGCCTAATGGTTAGCACTAGACCTCCCAGAGATACACTATCATGCCTGCTCGGATTGAATCACACAAGACTTTACAGAAGCAAAGTGATTGCGTGATAATGTTTTGACACAGGGGGAAAACAAAGTTTTGCCATTTGGAAAGGTCAGTGTAGACACAGAGAAAAGGGGGTCGGGAACAGATGACATCCCCACTTAGCCACATTATTATCTGCTCATTCACATTTCTTTTTCACAGCAGCTCCTCTTGAGCTGATCAGCTAGTTGTGTTTGGGGAAAAAAGTCCCCCCTGTCACCACAACCTCCCTTGAAATGCAGCCATCACTCAAACACACACCAACACTGAAGCATCGTCACACCCGCACTCGTTCTGTCAAAAGATGACAATCACTGGTGAGCAAACCTGTACATCCTACACCTAATTTCTTTAAAACATGGAATGGTGCTTCAAAGAGGGGAGGAGGGAGGGAGGGAGGGAGGTCACTGGGATGAGATGAAATAAAAGAGTATTCACCTGTTATTTATTGTCCACACGTCTAAGAATGTAAAAATTAAATTAAAATAAATTAAGTTAAATTAAATTAAAATGACAAAGTGAACGCCTGGCCGCCTTTTTTGATGCTGCAATTACAGATGAAAAAAAGCCTAAAATCATGGAACATTCTATTTCCTACATCTATCCAAAGGATCATGTTATGTGCCTCAGTCCCAATGTCCGGAGAAAGGAGTTATAGAACATGTTGGGAACCTTCTACACGTCCGTTTAGCAGAGATGATGGCAAGTCTTTGGATCTGAGTCTTGACTTCATCTTTGGAATCAGATCCCAAGTCCCTATTAAAAACAAGTTTTTTCCCCCCAGAAAACTGGGAGAGGTGGGTGGGCTCCAAGTCATGAGTTCAGTCTGAGTCATTGGGGGGGGGGAATCTCGAGTCAAGTCCGAGACGAGTCACCAGTGCGTCTTAAGTCTGACTTGACCGCCAATCCGGCAACTTTGAGTCCCCACGCCCGCTGTTCACCAGCTCATTGGGCATCCTATCAGGGGTGATGGAGGCTACAGTCTAGTGCATTTACAGAGCATTGGGTGGAAAGAAGCCTGCTTTAGGTGGAGGGCATCAGGCTGTCAAGAACACCCGTCCTTTCCAAGATCCTTCTGTGATCCTATATTGGCCAGATAGATACCTTGGGTAGTCTCCCTGTAGGAAGTGGGCAGGGGGCAGCCAGCATGGGAGAAGCATGGGCAGAATAGAGGGTTGGATACTAACATCATCCTTCCTCAAGTCACTTTTCCCAAGACCAGGTCCATGGTTAGTGCAGACAGCACTTCTAAGAAGGTGTTTTCAGTGAGAAAGAATTTGGAGAAGCCAAAATCTAAAGACTTCCTTCCTGGTCTACTGCATTCTTCACCCCTGATTGTTTTCTCCCAAGGTTGGTGACAGACCCAGGTTTCCAAGCCCCTGGAGGTCCTCTTCTGGCTTCAGCAGAGCCACAACATTGACCTGCCAAGC